CTAAGGGTCTTCAAGCTTGAAGTCTGCCAAAACAGTAAGGTGTTGCATGTGCTGTTTTCTTGATCTCTCAGCTTCTCAGTTTTGTTAGGCAGCAGTCAGCATTACTAATTGGAAGCAAAGCCACAAAACAGCAGAGGCACCTCCTGTTTTGCTCTGTAGTGGACTCTAGTCTTACAGATTTGTTTTTTAATAACTTCCCATTTCTCATGTTCCTGTCACTTGTGTCCCTTGCTCCCTCTTTCCCCTGAAGCCTTGCTAAAGCATGTTACTCTGGTACTGCAGTGACTTGGCCATTTCTTGTTTCCCCCATCACAAAGGGCTGGGCTGTTCTGTTTGTGCTTATAATGTACCCAGATGGTGAATAGAATGAGTGACCACCAAGCTCATTTTCACTTGTGGGGTCAGACCTTTCTCTGCTAAATAACACAAGTGTTCCCAGCTGCTGTGCAGCTGCAGGGAGTCTGCTTTCCTTCACAGGCATTAAAAAGCCTTTAATCAGTGTTTGTTGTTTGTCAGCAGTGGTGTTGAGGTGCGGAGAAAAAGAACAGATATGCTTTTTTGTTGGCAAAGTTAACTTCACTCTGACCTCTTATCTTTCCTTTTTCTTTTCAAGTCTGAAGAAGCAGAAAGTAGTTTGGGAAATGGTTTCTGCAAGCACCTGTGTAAATGTATTTGCTAAAGGAGGAGGTTTATGTCCTTATACAGATACAGCATTTGACATAAAAAGATGCTCTGAGAGCTATGTTGAACTGGAAGCTCTTTAGGGCAGGCCCTCAAACTGATGTAGGAGCTGTGCTGGCTCCCTTAACGTAAGCAAATGATATGAAAATACAAGTATTGGTGTTTAATACTAGTGTTACTTATGCTTATCTTAGTATTGTGTCTACATTTAAGGGATACTGTTTGCAGTCTGGTCAATTTTAACATTTCCCTGGAAAATAGATTATGCCTGCTAATTTTCTGTGATTTTTGTGGGTTTTACTTTTTTCTTTAAGATGCTGAAGCAAATGCAAGAAGAAGCCTTGAGGAAATCTGAGCTAAGGTCACTTCCCTCTTCTTTCTAGATGAAGCTTGGAAACCTGCTGGTGCTGTGCACGGTTTTTGCAGGGTTACTTTCTTCCCTGTGTCCAGATCTGTTCGTTTGTGTGTCTGCACGTACAGCACCAAACATAGCTCTGAGTGTTGATTCTGTTGTTTGCAAAGCCTGTTTGTGTGGGCATCCTGAGGCTGTTAGGGTCACAGGCTTTCATTTGGGCTTCAGTGGTCATGATGGGACATTTGGTGTTAAAGAGGGAATACTTTATCTTGCTATGCTTTGCCTGGCTTGAAGGGACCAGAGAATCATGTTACTGCTGTGTCTGGGGAGGGTTGGTAGCCAGGTGACAGGGCACCCTGTGCACATCGCTCCAGCCCTGTGTCTGGCTCAGCGGTATCTCCTCCAGTGAACAGGTGGTTTGTTTGGAGCTGTGTGCCTTGTAAAAGGGCTGTTTGCTTGCTCAAAGTGCGAGTAAATACCTGGGAATGAGTAACTTCAAAATTGTAGCCCTCGCTGTTAAAATGCTAGATGAAGTGTCCTCCCCACAGGCAGACACATATTTCTGTGTTCATCCAGTGTTTTTCTTCAAGTGGCTGAGGCTGCTTCCAAAGGAGGGCAGTTGTGCTCTTGGGCAGGCAAAATGCTAGGAAGAAACCAGTGCTGAGTGGGAGGGGATAGACACCCAAAGCAGCTAGTATGTTAAATGTTTCTGGATGGACTGTGTGGATGATCGCTTCTGTTGCAGGAACACTTACCGGCTAGAAATGGGATAAAGAACCATTGTTTTACTCTCTGGAAGCTGGCAGGGCTGCCAGGCAAAGATGGGATCTGAGCTGCAGTGGAGCAGGTGCCCTACTCTTGAGGGGGGAGTTTTCAAAGCCCTTTGGTAATATCTCCAAGAGATCCAGTCCTTCTGGCAGTGCTGTCTGGTCACATGAGAAGAACCCTGATCAGACAGGCATGATCCTGGATTTTGCTGGAAATGAATGCAGACTTTTACAATTATAATCTAGCCGAACAAAACATGCACCATCTTGTGCAACTATGTAAACCATAAACTTTTTGGCAAGGCAGGTGTGGCATCTTCAGTGTCTGGAAAGCACCTAACATGCTGTGTGGGCTCCCTACTGTAATCCAAATTACAAATGCTAAAAAGGCTTTGATTTTTTTTTTTTATAAGATGGTTCTTGGCTTAATTTTGGTAGGCGAGAACTTCATAGACTACATTGGGATGCTCTGCATGTTCCCTCAGGCCCTCAATTAATCAATGCTGCACTCTTCTTCCCCATCCCTCTGTGAAGAGACACTGGAGGAAAGCTCTTCGATAGCCTTAGATTTAGCTTGTTTGTGTCAGCCCTGAGAAGGACTTTCTATTCTTCAGGGATGCCCTTTCCAGGAGGAGGGATGTTCCTGGCCTGCAAAGCCCCTCTACTAAGTATTTTGGTACAGGCTGCAGAAGGCTTAGGTGAGTTTTCATGATACAAGCTGAGTTTTCAATAGGCTTGAAATACGGTTTTGTGCTGGGAAACAGTACTCTAGCTTTTTTTTTTGGTGTGCCTTTTAGGTATCTCTGATTCGTGGAACTCCGATTCTGACACAAGGAATTTGCAAAAACTTTCATGCTGGTAGCTGAAGCCCTCAAATGTGATGAATGGCAGATGCGTTCGTTCCCTCTAAACAAACGTGACTTCTGTGTCTGAGTACTTAACTGCTGTATCTGCACCACACTGGGCTATCAGGCAGCTCGACTTTTAAAGTCTGTTTATACAGACAGCTGAAAAGCCTTGTGAGCCTTTCAGGGTCTCTGGCATCACACACTGGGAGAAGGCTTCAGCATCTTCAGTCTGCTACTTCTCACTGTATGTTTATAGTCACTGGTGATCTCTGCATCTTGGGGGCTACAGAAAGACATTACTGTAGGCAGAGCAAGAGCAATTCCAAGCTAACTTGTGATAGTCAATCCCTGACAACAACTGGGTAAAAATCTGGTACAGCTTTACAGTGTTTTTATAGTCTAGTCCAGGTCTCTATAAACCATTTAACATTGCCTTCAGGTTTAATTTTTCCAATTTCCCATTTGGAACAGGTGTTGCCAGGTTCTAGAAAGTGTTGCAGAAAAGGAACAAACATTTTAAAAACTCTGCGCTCTTACAAATTTTGGCATGTCTCTGACAGATGAGATTTTAAAAAAAAGCTTGCCCCACCCAAATTAAAACAAGTGCAGACCTTGCTTACTTTTCCCAGCTGTCATGTTTAAATGGGGTTTTTAGTAATGCATGAGTCTTCAAGAGATCCAACAGTACAGAGCTAATACGTTTTTATATGAAAATATGCAACTTCTCAATTGTTTTTCTCATTTAATTGAGGGAAGAGAAAGGGGGTAAAGAATTTTTTAAATGTCAAAAAAACAAATTTCAGAGATGCATGTTCTTTGAGTGGTTAAAAACCAACTCAAACTAGGCTTCAGGCAATGTTTTTTCAACAGCTTTAACCTCAAAGCCTAGAGCAGACAGCTTTGTAGGCAACTGTAACACCAAGGTGATTATGGCAATGACTCACACTTCCCTGTAAGGCATCCAGCTACCAACACACTTGGAGACCTGTGGCTTTGTGCATGCAGGCAGGGTGTCAGTCAGTGCCCACTCCCAGCCAGCCCCGATCTGCTGAGCTCATAGCCACTTTGACAGCAAGCTGGGTTATTGGTGTGCTAGAGAGCAACTCTGGTCCCCCCAGGCTCCTGAGAGGCTTAAGAGAACAGCAGCTTGGGAAGGGGAAGCACAAGGCGAGTTTAACTTCCCTTTTCTGTGCATAATCCTCATGGGACTTCATTCAAGAGTCTCTTGAAATCTTGCTGTGAGCAGGTGGTTGGGTTTGGGTGATAGTTAAACGTCTGACTAACCACTAAGTGGGGTAGCATGGGAAGTGGAAAGGGCTGCTACTGTCACGTCCTGGTAAAACTCTTCCAATGGTTATAGAAAGAGAACTGGCTCTTGGTGTCCTCAGGAAGACAGTAGACACTTGGAATGAGACCTGGCTATTGCAGCGAACAAGTGGACAGAAAATGGGGGCTCCTTCATGTGTATTGTGGGTTTCTTCATCTCCAAAAGATGAGGCAGAAGTCAAGCTGTCTTCAGAGAGGAAAACAGCAGTGATGGTTATATGGAGGATGTCATCTGGGCAAGGAATTGGGAGACTGAGTTTGCTCACTTTAAGAGACTGACAAGAAAGGAGTGCCACTTTTATATAAAACAGGCTGCGTCTAAACTGAATGCTTGGGAGAAGGGGTATTCAGAAAGATGACAAATTCAAACTTCTGAAATGAAATAGCTCTTCACATAGTGTGCAATTAGATTGTGGGATGTATGGAATGCAATTGCCAGCCGGGCAGGACGTCATTGGGAAGGAACAAAATGTGGCTTTGGGAGTGTTCAGGTATGCTGTTGCAGGTGGTATCCACAGATGACATAAGTAATGCTTTAAAAAGCAAATAACTGGTGATGGAAAGCTAGCCACATCCACGGTTCGACTGCCAAAGCCAATCTTGATAGGTTATTTCAGTTCCTCTGCGATAAGTTTCTTACACCTCTGAATAAAATTGTCTTGTACCAGATATTGTTTGCAGTGAGGCACTGGGCAAGCTGGGCCGTTGTGACTCAGTATTGCCCTTCCTGTGTGGGTTGTGTTTGGCTGTGCACATCTTATGTTTTCGGAGGTGAGGCGGAGTGAGTAATATTTCCGTTCTATTAAAGAAAATGGAATGGCAAAGACCCTCTTTTTTTTTTTAAAGATGTATGTGTTTCATTTCAAGTTCCCTTCAGGCAAACTCAGCTTTGGTAGGCAGCTTAAACTGCATTATAGACCGTATTGCTGTTGTAATAAAACCAAAATACACTGTGCTCCGTTTTGGGAAACCAAACCAATATCTCTTTTTTCCCTACCTCCTTTTTCTTTCCACTTCCTTCAGTTTTTAATAAGCGACCGTGACAGAGACCCTCAGTGTAACCTGCATTGCTCCAGGTCCCAGTCCAAACCCCTCTGTGCCTCTGATGGCAGAACGTACGAGTCCATGTGCGACTACCAGAGAGCCAAGTGTCGGGAATCAAGCCTGAGCGTGACACACCGTGGCCGGTGCAAAGGTAGGTGGATCTCAAGTGCCTTTGAGGGGAGGAATGGGAGTCCTACCTCATAAGAAACTGGATTCTTAAACCCTTGAGTTCAGTTACTGTGCTCTGTGAGTAATCTGATTGGAATTGTGCCTTCCCTTCATGTGAGCCTGGGTATCTGAGTCTAGGTTTAGGTGACAGGGGTAAGAACTGACAGAGTTGTCCATGTAAGAAGGCAAAGGAGCCAGACATCGCTGAAGAAGGGCTGAAATATGTCTATGTAGAGAAGGAGCTGGCCCCATGGAAATGCAAAATCGAATCCTTAAAGAGAGCTTCCTTGCTACCTGTGCCAGTGAGGGATTGAGATACCTTTTGAATGTGGAGTGGGGAAGAACGTGCAGGGCACATTAGATGTCTAGTCCTTTTTACTAGGTACAGTCTTTCTGTGCTGAGCTAATTAAGACAGGATGCATGCAAGGCTTTACATGGCCTCTCTTTTGCCTCTTTACTGTTATATCTACTTAAGTGAAAATATTGTTTCTCTCTCAATTCAGCTCTTCAGCATAGTCTGAAGATGCAACTTTTTAAACAAATATTATTGTTTTGTTACACAAGTAGTTTGCTTCTTCAGTGGAGAGAAAAATCAGATTGAGTGCATTTTCTGAGAGCACAATTGACTCAGAAGGCAGATGGCACAGAGTTTTAGCAATTGGTTAAGGTGACAGGAGAAACTAATTAAAAATTCCTGTGGAAGGATAACCAGGCATATGTTTAAGTCTGAGTTTTGTTTATGAAGGCTTTTAACTATTATAAAAATGTGTCTTTGTTGGAATTACTTGTTCTAAAAGGGAAATCCCTTTCCAATGTATTGACAAGCTTTATAGTTTAGGTGAATTATGAGCGTGACCTCAAATATTGCTCTTTCCCCCCAGTGAGAAAATGTTTTTAAAAAGCTTACTTGTTCCTTTTTTCTTCCTCACCACTTCTGGGTTGCTTTATGGGAGCTTCTCTCCTATAGCACAGAAAGACCTTTCAATCCTGCTGCTTTCTGAGTACTGGAAGCCCAGCAGCTTTCTTCCCAGGGCCCAAGAAGCAGTTAAACTGTCCTTGAAATGATGCTTTTTTGAGTATCTCAATAAGAAGCCATAGGATGGGAGTCCTGCTCTTGCTTTCATCCCTTGAGCAGAGTGGCTCCGTGGCTGATACTGACTGAACAGTGCCAGTTTATATGGCACTTAAAACTTCTTCTGAGCCCCAGAGAAGTAACTAAAGACTTTTTGGTCTTAAGCACAGGTAAAGTATACTCTTCTGTCTTCTCTTTCTAACACAACTGAAATGTTTAGCTGAAACTACTTGTGTTATCTTTTCCTTTTTCCTCTTACCCTGTGGTACTATACCTGGTAACCTGGGAGTGTCTGACACCTACAAGTCTTCTAACCCACTAGTGCTCCCACAAATCCCTGGGAAGTAGGAATATTCTTTTGACCGTCACAATCAAATTTAACCTTGCCGGTGGTTTTCATGTGTTACCTTATTGAAAGGCATTTAGTTTTTCTAGTTACATTAGCAGTGTGACCACTAGTTGTGCATGATGATTACTGTGCTTGGCAAATACAGGCAGTTTGTGCCCAACTACGGGCAGTTAGCCAGGTCTGTGTCTTGTACTTGCACAAAGCAAGGTATCACCAGCAGTGATTGAGCACCTTCTACAGCTGCAGTAGGGCACCAGGTTTACCATGAACAACAGCTTCATTCCTTCTGCATGACAGAGATGCTCTACAGGGTAACTTCTGTGGAACTAGAAGGGATCCCATGGACCATCGAGCCTAGTCACATGCAATTGTGATAAATACCATATCCAAGATATCCTTATGAAATGAGCAATTTTAACTTGTGCTTCCTTCTCTGAGGTGGAGGGGGAAAACCCAGGTAACTAAAATAAGGAAAAGAGGAAGTATATGGTGGACAGCAAGGCATAGCTCTGCACCCCAGATTACCATAGGTTTCCAGTTTCATATGCTGATAACTTGAACTGTGCTTGTATTGAGGCAAGCAGAATGGTTTCCATAGTGAGAACAGAACCTTTTTGATTCAGCTTAGCTCTCTGCTCTCTCTCAAGAAGCTAAGGACCTTTAAAGCTGAAATCTTGCCAGCCCTTTGGGAACTATAATTCTTACTCAGTTCTTGCTCCTTGTTAGCTTCCTCACGTGCTTTTTCAACGAAATTCCTTCAATGAACTCCTGCCGAACCCTTGCTCACACATCGCAAAGGGTTAAAAGTCAGGTGTAGCTTACAATGATCAAACTATGGCATCCATGACAAATGGAGCCTCACTGAGATTCCAGCGAATAGTTCCAGATGGTGTAGCTGTGTGTAAAATACACAGCACAGCAAAGCACTTGTACCTGGACCTTTTGTCAGCAGGCATCTTAAGATCTGATGTCAAATAAGAGTTCTGCCTCAAAACCCTTTCAGGGATGAAGGACAAATACTTACTGTGTCTTGGCAAGCTGTCAGAGTTATGCAGTGATTGTAAGGGTACATTGGGTATCTGTGACTTGAAGCACCTTTAAGTTCTGTGTTAACTAGTTGGTTTCTAGGAACTTGTTTGGCCTATTAAATTAAAGAGGTGTGCAAGTGTTCTAAAAACATCCCATTAGATTTATAATGGTTGGTTTTGAAAGTCTGCTGGTATAGAGCTTGTTCTTAAATCACAAGTCACTACGTAGAATGAACCTATTGAACTTACTGGTGGAAACTGTAACAGGGTTCTTCAGCCCATCTCCTGGGACAGCTAAACAAACACGGCTAATGTGCTGGAAAAGAAGGTCTCATGACTAGTGGTGGGTTGTCTGAGACTTTCTTCTCTACCTACTGTTCTTGTTGAACAGATGTTTTGAAATCACACTTTCTTTAGCCCCCTTGCTAGATCCATGTGTGTTTTTCTTTGAACCTTCTTATTTCTAGTCAAGGGAGAATAAAGTGCGTTCCTCCTTGGCAGCAGTTAGTCAAGAAAATCTGAAATGATGCTTTCAATCACTCTGCAAATTTAGACATGTTTTCAGGTATGTTCCAAACAAGTTAGGGAACTTTGGAGTAGAAATGGTATGTGGGTATCAAAGAAGGAGCAAAGCATGTAAGTGTGAAAGGAAAGAAGCTGTAGATTCCAGGTATAGGACTTCTCAGGAATGAAGTGAGAGACAATGGGGAGAGTGGAGAATGATTGATGTTGGGACAGAGGGGTGTGTTTTTTGTAGCTTGCTCAGGCTCCATTTTTGCCTCTTAGGCAGACACAGATCAGATTGTTGGCTGGAGTAAATGGATATGGTTCTGCTGACTTCAGTGTAGCTGGACTACTTCATGCCTGGCGGGGACCTGGCCTGTATGTGAGACAGTTACCTAATGGAACTAGAAATAGTTCAAAAGCTGCTTGGATGAATATTTGCCCTTTGAGCTATTGATAAAAACAAAGTAAAATTAAAAGGCTAGATTTTTTGTGGTTGCATCATATAGATTTGTTGCTTGTCATGTGGATGCCTGGAAATGTTTTACTTTACTAGGATAGCTTGGGTCTTTATACCATGGCATTGTGTGGTGTCAGAACTGCCTCTGCCTGTTGAAGACAGGATGCTGGAATTCTTGGGGCCTGTTCAGGAGTGCACTGTGAATATTATGAGGGACATGGTGGTCTCATTTGAATAAACTCTTCATGGATAAGATCAACCATGGTAACTAGCCAACATCATTGCAAAATCCAAAATTATGTGCACCTGCATTCTTCAGATTAGGTCACAGATGTCAAACATAATTTGTAGTTCACAATCCCTTTATTGTTGGCTACCAATTTGAGAATGAATTTTCTTTAAAAAGCGGCTTTCTGAGCTGCAGTAAATCTGTCCTAAGTCTGAAGATATTTAAAGTCAAATTACTAAACATCTTTGATTTTTAAAAGTTATCCTGTTTTGATTTTTTTTTCACCTTATGTAAGGGAGGGAACAAAGTCCTATTTAGTCTTTCTGGACTGTGAAACAGGAATGCATTAATACCATTATATGTCATAAGCTTAGTGTTAGAAACTCCAGAGGACATTTCTAAGAAGAGGGAAGAAAAAGTGCTGAAACACTGAAGTAAACAATCAAAATGCAGAATAGGGTATATGAACCTACATTATAACATCAGGCTTTAGTAAAACTTGTATCTTATCTGGGGTGAGCTATTTGGCAGCTCCTTTTTAACACTTGGCACTTATGTAATATTTTACATTTTCTAATTAAAGCAGAAATAGCAAGGTGAAGTCATCCCACTGAAATCACATGTTGATGCAAACATTATAAAAATACCAGCCTGTGGAGTGAGGACGAAAAGGATTGACAGTCCTTTTAAAAACAAACTGGTAAATGTTGATATTCAAGGCACTGTTTTTACTGGAACTGAGCTGTGAAACAGCAGACAAAGATAGTGGTAAGCATACACCTCTCCAGCCAGTGTGGTACATAGGTGGTTGTTCCAAGTCAAGGCTGTAAAAGGACTGGCACGACTGTCATGGTTTAGCCTTATCTAGCAATTAAGTACCACACAGTTGCTCACTTACCTCCCCTTCCCCCCCCCATTGCAGGAGGAGAGTCAGAGGAAAAGACAAGGAAAGCTCATAAAGTTGAGATAAATAGTTCTTATCACTGTAATTTTATATTATTACTAACAATACTACTACTGAGTAATTAAACCAATAGAAAATAGAACATATGATGCAGTAGCTCACCATGCACTGACTGACCCTTCCAACCCAAACGATTCTATGATTCTATATGACACACAGCCAGGTCCTAAAAGCTAACCAGAGCTAATGACCCAGCTATCAAGCTAGCCCCCAAAGCCAAGCCTTAACAAGCTAAGCCTTCCTGCTGCCCCCAGACCACTTCCCACCTCCCATACTGTTCATTCACCCAGCCTGACCACTTGAGCCTGATGTAGCATGGAATGAAACGCTCCTCAGCTGCTCTGGGCCAGCCGACAGCACTGTGAAGAAAAGGATCTTGTTTCTGCCTGAAACTAGCACAATAACCTTTGGAAGTCAGTGAGGGAGGATGGGAGAAGTAATCAGGGCTGAGTGTTCATGAACAGGAGAAAATTTGTCTGTCTTTTCTGCTATTCAGCAGCTATTTGTGAAGAGACGATCACTTGAGCCAAGGGGTTGAGTTGCAAAAGAGGATGCTGCGACAATGATGAGCTCTTAACTGCTCCGGTGTGCTACACTGTGCAGTCTACTGGGTGGTAGTAGGGAGTTCCATCTGTAAAAGCCAGTTAAAATTGCCAGGAGGGACACAGTCACCTTAGCAGTTACAGGTTTACATTACTTTCCCCTGATATTAAGGGCTCGATTGTGTGTGGGTTTTTTCTGCTCATTACACAAATTGGACCAAGATCTGAGTTAGTCTTCCTTCTGCCTGGGCTCCTAATGCGTTTGTACTGCAGGGGATACCACAACGTGTTTGTTCCGACCTGCTGTGTGGCGAAGCGTCTAGTTCCAGTCATGTAGTCAAGAGTGCCAGCACTAAAGTAGATGCTTTGTGGAAATGCTTTACGCTTCTGTTTTATGTTCAGGAGAGGAACCAGATATGCCTGTCTGCAGTCCTGTATCCTCAGATAAAGAGGCTAGAAAACACACTCAGCTTGTGAATCTGTGCTTTGATTGTCATGTGAGAAATTCACAACTCTTTATTTTTTCCTTACACGTGTGGATCTGATTTTTTTTTTTTGCTATTTGTCTCCTGTGAAGCAGAACTAGAAGGTGTTTTTAGTCAGACAGCTAGCTCTAAAACAGAAGGTGCAGTCACACCGTCTGGTTTTGTAATAATGTCCTGTGTCATGCCAAGCAAGATTAGACTATTAAGCTTGAACAGGAGATCTGCAGGTGATATAGCTAGGTGTTCATGTTAACAGCACTGCCAGAGCTTCCTTTCCAGCTGAAAGAATGAGCGTGTGCTGGAAGGGTCAGTACTGCTGTCAGGACCAGCCTCCAGTGGAGGTGTGCAAACAAGGTCTGATCATCTGGTGGTTTTGGCAGATGGGGAGGGGAAAAGGAAATTCCAGCTTAGAGAATATATCATGGCTAATTAGACAAAATACTGCTGTTCTAAAATCAGTGTAAACTTTATTGAATAAACCTTACTCAAAGTTGTTACAGAATGAAAATCTTGCTCTTTATACAAGCTCGTAGTAGGTCCAACTGAGATCAAAGTTCCGTGTGCTATGGGTGTTTGTGAACACCCCACAAAAAAATTAGACTGAAGATAAGAGTGACGTAGGCCAGAAGGGACACAAGGTCACAGGGAGGTGGGGTGACTGACTTGTAGTCACTGAGTAGGTCAGTGACAGGGTTGATCTAGGCTTTCTTGCTTTGTAACTCAGTGCCTAAACTGTAAGCATCTATGCTGAATGCTATTACTATGAATAATGACTCTTTTCCAAAGAGAAGCATTTGATTTCCATTATTCCAGACTTGTGAAATTCTTCTTGAGGAGTAATGTGAGATGTTTGAAGTGAAGCTGTGCTGGCAAAAGGGAAGCTTAGTCTCGAGTCATCAGTTGTGTAAATAAAGTACTCAGCTTGAGGGCTTTGGTCTATGTCTTTATCAAAACTATTTGCAGCACTGTCACTGGTTTCTGCATCTCAGTATGCTTAGATGGAAACAGCTTCTATTGCCATTCAATGTGAATTCTGTTGATCTGAGAACCCAGACTGGCTTTCTACCTCAGTTCTAGTATTAGTGAATCTGTTGTTGAAGTTCATGGGATATATGAAGCAGAATATGGGATCTTAAGGGATCCAGTGGGATTTTTTTTTTTTAACCGATATGATTTCTGTGCCTGGTAGAACAGAGGTTCAACCCTGATCACACTGTGGTGCTGCTGAAAGATTCTGATGATCAGATCTTGTAGTTTCTCCACTGAAAATCTTTCAGCCAGTGGATTCAGGGGAAAAAAGAAGGTACTAGTCCCTGTTTCAGTCCCATGGAAACAGATGTTGCTGTTTTTTCTTCTTTATGGACTGAATAGAAGTACTACTAGACATTTTAAATGTAAATACTGAGTCAATCTGTATCTCTGCAGGGCAGAACTCTCCTTTTTGACCCATCAGTCATCACTGTTAGGCTTATCTGGGTCTAAGCTCTAACACTGAGCTGGACCTGGAAGGATTAAGGTCATGTTGCCTGCTGCCATCTGAAATAAGTGCAGAGCTTTATCTTTACAGCTTCAAGTTGACTTGCAGAGCAGTGTGTTTTCTTGGTAGCAAAGTAACTGATATGAGGCAGTATAATGCACACCTGGCTGCAAGCTCTGGGACCAGAGGTAGAAGCTGGCTTTCAGGAAAGCACAGGTAATGGCATATCTATTTTATCTGAAAACACAAAGGTGGAAGTTCGGATGAGTGGCTGGTTAGTTCAGCATCTTACTGAGAGTGTTCCTCAGTTGGAGAAGCTTTGCTGACTTCTGGGCCTAAACTACTTGGCTTATGCTCAGCTGTCCTGTTTCAGGCTGGCTGTTTAATATTACACAAACACAACTCCTTCCACAAAGGCCTTTTACTGTGTAGATGTTGTGCTCCAGCACTTGCTGGAAGAAGCTTCCAGAGCCCTTGGATGACTGTACTATTGCCTAGGGAATTAGGCAACTGGTCATTAACTGCATTGTAGTTTGATTGTCTGTGTTCATATTTTTCTTTGAGGTGTGAGTACTAACTCCCTAGCTGCCTCATTAATGTGCAGGTAATGATCCCTGATGCCTTATATATGTTTGTTTGGGTTTTCCCCCCCTGCAGCTGCGTGGCGCATCTGGTAGCTTTTGAAGAGGCCAAATGGTGTTTGCAATCTGACTTTTGCTTTTATCTTTGTAGATGCTGGCCAAAGCAAGTGTCGATTAGAGAGAGCTCAAGCACTGGAACAGGCAAAGAAGCCACAGGAAGCAGTCTTCATCCCAGAATGCAATGAGGATGGATCATTCACGCAGGTAAGGCTTCCTTCAGGCACGGTCCCAATGGCTGCCAGAGGCTCACTGTTAAGGCATATGAGCCAAGTGGTAACAGCAGCATGGGTGCACACTGTGTTACTCAGGTGAAAGTATTGAAAGCTGGGGACTTGTTTAATCAACTAGAAGCTTTGATTTGGTCACCATACCTTAAGCCACATGCATATGTGATGGCATCCACCTCCAATGTGGCACAGCAACAAATGGCATCAACCTCCAAGCATAGCACATACAAAGGCAAGTTGCAGGGGAGGTTAATTTTTCCCTGAAGATGAGACGAAGAGAGCTGTGCCTTATGCAGAACAGGGTGCACCAGGCTGCTTTTGCTGTTACCTGTGCTTCATCTATCCTAGCAAGAAGTAGTCTGTTGATCCTCTTCCCTCTGCAGGATACTTGTTAGTGACAGACTCCTGTTTCCACTTCTGTGCCCTGTTGTGGATTGGGTGTATGGCAGAGGTGATGAGACTGCTTTGTTTGGATTTTTGGTTCTCCGCTGTTCACTGACTGGAACTAAATGATGTGCTAGGATTGTGGACAGTCTGATAATGCTGTTTCTCTTGAGAAGCAATTATCTCAGGCAGGGGTAGCAGGAGGAGGCTTATGGTTTGTTGGCCTTTATCTGTGAATTGTCAATCCTGGTCACTAAGTGTCCTTCAGAATTCCAGAGAAGTTGAAGTAGTTACAACAAAAAATCCCTCATGAAGGAGGTTTTGGGAGGAAGAGTAGTTTTCTGAGGCATGGTAGCATTGGTTCTGCTATCACTAGTATATTGAGTAGTGTCCCAGTGCGAACTGAACTGGCTGTTAAAAATGCCTCATATGCAGTCCCCAAACAGGTAGGAAGAGTATGCTGTTTGGCCAGTTTGGCATGCATCTCCAGCCAAAATCCTGCAACCCTGATGACCTATACTTTGAGAACATAGGTAAATCACAGGACTTTTTGCCTTAGCTTCCCTATATCTACTGCTGCTCTAGAGATCTTGTGCCTCAAATTTTAGGATTCATTAGGTATTGTTTGCAAAGCCTTTTGAAGGGGAAAAAAAAAATCCAAAATATAATCAATATTGGCTTCAGAAAGATGAGACAGGCAAAAAGCTTTGGGGTTGGTTCAAACACTTTGTGATGCCTGGGGGAAGAGGAGAGGAAAGATGCTTTTGTGATAACCCACCAAAAATTTTTATTCCCCTCTTCAGCCTTACCCTCCCATTATCTGGTGTGTGGGAGTGTTTTTTTGCTTTGGTGTTTTTTTGATGGTGAAGTGGGAAGAGTTTTATCCATCCTGCCAACTTTGCATACTTCTTTGGAGCAGCATCATTTGTGTGGACCATCTTGGGAAGGTTGGGGGTAAGAGAAGGTGGCTGCAGCTTCTTGCAGTCTGACTACACTCTCAATTGTTGAGATGTAATTTTGTGTAGAGCTGCTCAGGTTATGTTGGCACTGGAGAGGAATACTTACACAACCTAGCACAGTGGGCCAACTGAGCATTCCATGTTAAAGTTTATGTTCAAGTAAAGGGGGAGGGAAAGCTGACTTTGCAATGTCTGTCAGATTCTGGAGAGTGGACTTGAGAGCGCAGTTGATAAAGCTTTGTTTCAGACATGATTATTTGGAAGGTTGGTACTAGTGTCTGGATTGCAGAGCAGTTGCTGGGCCTCTTTTATTTCTGCAGCATGAAACTGCTTACCAAAGCTGTGTGTTTTGAGCTGGCAGCCAAGTGATATTTCACATTGTTCCTCTGTTCAGTCCTATCTGTGAACACTAAAATGCTTTTGTTTTACCTGGCATGGTGAAGGAAACTTCTGATCCCTTTCTAGCTGGAATTAACTGGAATTCATATAATTCCTCGAATAGTAAAAATACTCCATGTTCCACATACCTCAGGAACCAGCTTGATCATTTATATTGCAGCATTTAAGGTCACTGTCCCTGCATAAGATGTGAGTGAAAAATAATGTCTGAGGAAGCTAACTGGTTTCAACCTGCATTTGAGGCAAATATTTCCTTTAGCTTCTGGTCCAAATGAATTAAACTTTGATTTTTAAAAGGATGTATAAAAATTAGTATTTTGGTGAATGGTCCAAACTGGTTTTGCTTCCAGCAACTCAGGAACAGATCTCATCTGGTGGAGGCAGTTTGGATACTGCATTTGTTGTGCAGAGAATTGGCCACCCCAGCTTCTCCTCTGCTGGGAAGCTGTGTAGGCCAGTTCTTGAAGTTCCTGAGGCCTTGCTGAAGTCAGCTCTGAACTATTATTGGTTTATTCTGGTTCAGTACCCAGAGTTACTCCATCCAAATTCCAAAATTTCAGTTGGGAAGTCCAGACCTGGAGCACCATCTCTCAATGCAGTTTCTAGGAGAAATATCCACCATGTTCTTCAACCTTGAATCTGCATCCCAACAACAATCTAAGCAGATGCATATGCTTCAGGGTACACCTTGTACGTGGAGTTGGCTAGGGAATTTTTTCCAACAACTTCCCTCTTCTATGTAACTGTTACTGGAGGAATATTTAGGGTAGAAGAAAAATTCTGATTGGGGGGGAAACAAAGATGCACGCATAGATTTAGAATATCAGAAGTCTTAATTGTAACACTAAAGATGTAGATTACTTGCTTTCAGGTCTTGAGCTGAGCCTCTCTTGTGGGCCTGAACACCTACTGTGTATGCATCTATGTTATCATCATTGCCATCAGACTTCAAAGATCTGGGGTTTTGTCTAATTAATTGTTGGAAATTCTTGAAAGTTTTGCAGTAGTGAAAAACATGAACAGTGCAGGTTTGGGAGCTGCGTTTGGTAGTGGTAACTATATGTTCACAGAACCTGCTTGGTCTTAACCAGGTTGAACTGTTGCTCTTGTGGTTTATCACCCTGCTGGTTAGAAACCAAATTGCAATCACTCTGGGTAAACACTGAAAGCAGTGCTAAGTGAGGCTCTTCCTCTGAAAGCAGCTGCAGTGCCCTTTCCAGCTCCTGGAATTGCATGCAATAGAAAACTGAATTTGGGGCTGGATCCACTGCAAATTGGATGGGGCTGGAGAGTGGGGAATTGAACATTGCTGTGTTGGTGTTCTGTGACCAGCAGTGTGTGCTGCATGGGAAGTGGCCGTGTAAAGACCATGCTCACCTTATCTCCTTCTGCTTCCCTGAAGGGCAACTGGCTCAGAACCCAACAGTTCGATGTGGTAACAAGGGTGAAAGGGAGGAGGGCCTGAAGGCAAAGACCTTGGTTTAGCTTGCATTTAAACCCTGCATTAAAGAGACGTACTGTACCCCCCTGCCCCCCCCATGGCAGAAGGGTTGGAACTAGATGATCTTCAAAGTCCCTTAGGACCCAAACCATTCTATGATCTTTTAAACACCTGTATAATCTGTCTTTTATTAATTGTAAAATCTAGACTGATGTGTTGCCACAGATTCTGTTGCTTGGATGGCCAGTTTTCCTAGGCATGGCTAGTTATAATGGGTTTTGTGTACTGCATGAAGATGTGCACGGAAACAGTTATGAAAACCAGTGAGTTGACAGGTGCCTGCTCAATGTATGCTGCTTCCCTTAGTCTGGGACATGTGTATGTGAAGATCTCATCAAACCCCTTTCTAGATCTGCTTACACATCTAAAAATATGGCGTGAAAGAGATAGTGGCATTGCAGGCATGATGGGATGGCTGTAAATGGGAGCAGACCTGATGAATTGCTCCCAAATTGCTATTTCTTTGTATTTCAGTTTGTGTGGAATATTACTCTGGAATTATTGTGTGGAATAAAACTCTCTGCACTGAGCCCACAGTAATATAAGCACGCAGATAAAATATGAGTAACTCATGACAAAAGAATGTTTATTTGATATGAGTAATTTGATTAATTGTATAAAACTGAGGTCACTTACTCTTGTGCAGAATTGGACATGACTAAAACCAGTTTCTGTTCCCAAGACTTGCTCTCTCTCCATTTTGCTGTTATGCTGTATTTTGCATAAATGCCATTCCCTTTCCATGCTGCACTTAACCTGCTGTGATCTGTTCTTCATAAACAACAGGCTCTATTGGGTAATCTGCACACTTTTCTTTTGCTGCCTAGTGCCGTTGGGCTTGTTGCCATGGGCTGAGAGAGACTTGCATTCTTCATAGTTTTCCCCCCAAGCTTTTTTTTTTTTTTTAGAAAAGGTTGCTGAGGTTTTAAACGGGATCTGTTTCAGACAGACGAATATGAACGTGAATGTTAACCATGCTTTGGGGGTGTAGTCCTGGGGGGCTCTTTGTGGTGTGTCTTGCTGTTTGACGCCACCTTTCACTGTATAGCTGTGGTTTCTTTTCCTTGGAAGTCTGCACACAAGTGGCTGAGCACAAGTCTCCTTGGAGAGCTTCTTTGAGTTTAGGGCTCTCCAAACTGCAGCTGCAGTTACGATACAGCGCTGAGATTGGTCTTAAAGCACAGGCATCAGTCAAACCTGCTGTGCTAAGATGGGATCAGTGAGTGGGCTGACTTTCAGAGCTGTTTTCTGTTATGAGATAGCTTCCAGAGTACTCCTATGTCTGCTAATATAAGTCTGTTTGGAAAGAGGGATCTCTACTACGGCCCATAGCAACACTTTCATTCTGTGCTCTGCTAATGTGTGTACAAAGCACTGTATTTTTCTAAATCCCACAAATGCACCCCTTTCTAAAGACATGAGGAACCCTCTAAGCCTTCAGTGTGACTTCATGATCCCGGTCTGTTCCTCTGCGTTGGCTAGTGTAGCATGATGCTGGGCAGAATTACAAACTCCTTTCTTAATGCAGCATGGTGCTGCAGGGCACTGTGTAGGCAGCATCCAGGGAATGCAGGACATGTCTATTATTCCATTATTCAGTGCTTATACTCCAGCAATGCTAAGCTCTCAAGGACTTAACCTGTCCTTTCACAGGGAAAGAACAGTCTTGCTACAGAAACTCCTTATAAAGAATCTGGGCTTTAATTAGTAGATGATTCTGACTTTTTTTATTAAAACATCCCTTGCATACAAGACTGTAGCTGGACCTGTCTGAATACTGCTCTGAAGATTTGTCTACTTATGCACTTCCTTTTTTCCTGCAGTTCTTGTTTCTCACTTGTATATTGAGCCAAAGATAACCTATAGATGGTAAGGAGGGTAGCAACTTTGATTATATATGGCATTTCTTTAAAGTACCAGTTGAGAGCGAAAGAACAGGTTCTTAAAGTAGGAGTGGCCATCCTTAAGGAAAATGACAATGTAAGACCATTCTTAACTTTAAAGGGTCACATTCTGTCTCAGAGGCAGAGAGTGTCTTGGGAATCCCTCTCCTAAGCTAACAATATGTGTAGCAGAGCGTCTGTTGGGAATGCCCTTGACCATGGATAAGATTCTTTTGCCACAAATCAATTCTTTCCCTGGTTATATGAATAGTGAAAATCCTGTGGAGCAAGCATTTCTTGAATGGTGCATGGACTTGAGGGAGGTGGCTGCTGCATAAAGCCCTGGTGGGAGTATTTGTCTATACAACATCATTTGGGAAGAATTAAATGTGAGCAGGGAACAGAAAGTGATTTTAAGGGGTTCCAGTCCCAAAGAAGCTCAAAGTTAAGATGTAGACTGATTCATAGCTCCCTAAAATTGTCTGTAAAGGCGAGGCAAGCTTCTGACAATAGTCAGCAGGGTCTTAATCAAGCAGAAAGTATGACAAGATCCAGGGTCTAAGCAGTACAGCAAGACATGTAATTCAGAACAGAGGCATCACCACTTAGAGTTAGGATAAATAGCCATCAGGCCACTGTGCTGATTGTGTGCCCCTATGTTGGGTTCAGAGCACTTTCTACATGAGCCTTAGTGGCTGGAACACAGGAAAGACTTGATTAAAGGATTGCAGTGTGACACTGCAGCTCCTGCTCTCTGGGTCAGACCAGATGACCTATAGGCTTGGAACAATTTATTTAGCTGTTTTTACAGTGTTTAAAAGGAACACCTGGCTGCAGCCAGGGTTTGGAGCCTTGCCTCATGCACAGAGCGTGGGCAGAAGCTCTGCCTGCCATCACCCTCGCAGTGCCACTCTCTCCTTCATATATGTGATTGCAACTTCTCTCCCATTTCCAGTTTATCTTCTGGAAACAACCCCTTGATCCTTCTTTGTCCAATGGCTGTAAAGGGTTGTTGCTGTTTTCTTGCTAAGGAGCTTTGGATTGCTTTGGAATCTGATTCTGGCATTGCCAGTGAGATACCAAAGAAACCTGGACATTGTCTCTTTTTCCCTTGGGAAAAGAAGAGACAGAGTTGTCTGCCAGTGACTACACTTTAAATGTTTTCATATTGTAGTGAGCTTGATATAGAGCAGGTGTCTGTTCATGGGCCTGGTGGCTAGTATGTTAGCTGCTGTTTGAATTCACACATCTTCATGGCAGGGGCAAATAGAGGAGCTGCTGCTACACTCATACTTTGTGCAATGGTGACAGAAATTTTTGTTGGGTTTGTCCTTCATGCTTTTCATCCTTCAGTTGAAGCAAAGATAGCATATCTCTCACCCCTGAAATATAGGAACAGTGTCCTCCTGTACAATCAGGGATTTGCGTGCTTGCAGGGCTTTAAACTGTAGTTTGATCTCTGGTTTTTTTGGAAGTGTAGATGGTAATGGACAATCTGGAAGACCTCAAATGACTTGCAGGTTGTATTTCTCTCAATCCTTGTTGTTTAACTTACACCTGTCCAACAGCTGAACATTTTATGTTAATTTGAGATGTCAAAACCTGTTGTGCCTTTCCAGAAGTAATAAATGATCTGTAGTTGCTGCTCTGTTAGCAGTCAAGTATTTTGTATATAAAATTGGTCATGCATTTTCTCTGACACAGTGTTTAGCTTTAGAAGACTGAGAGCCAAAACAAGTTAAATGCTTTTTTCTAACATGTATTTTGGTAGAGCCTGAACTAACTAAATAACTGAAGATTTGATCTGTGCAGCAACAGGTGTCGCTTACATGGTTACTCTTCTGATAATAACAGAATTTAAAAATCTTGCGATAGGGGAGTAGGATTAGAATGAGGTTGAATTTCAGTAGAAGTTTTAAGTGGTAGTTAAAAACAAAACCTCAAACCTAAGATGATTAGAAAAATTTAAAGTAAAATCCTGAATTTTCAAGATTTCTTACTATAGGTGCTCTGGAATAGTTGACACTTTCCAGAGTTGTGTTTACACAGTGTTAAATGGTACTGATCTGCTATTGCCTTTACACTTTCAGTGCTGTACCAGTACTATGTAACAGATTAAAAGCATGCCATTCTTTTTCCCCTGCCTTTAAGCTACAAACTCTAGGCTGTAGACCACTTATGACACCTGAATATGCTGAGATCTGGTCACGTATCATGGTGAAAGGTAGCATCTCTCAACATGAAGATGTTGAGGAGAGCCAACTGCAGTAACTTTTTGAGGTTTCCGAAGTGTCCGTTCTTCATGTGTAGTTGTCTGACCTTTAGGATAAGGGCTGAGATTTAAGTGCTGCTATTGTGTGTAGTAGGGAAGCTCTTCTGCAGTAGAACGTGTGGTTGTGAAAATGCTGTCAACCTGAGTTAACTGTCTTTTTTTTTTAGTGGCAACAGGGGTAAGAAAGGATCATGGGCTATCAGTCCAAGGAAGGCCAGCATTCCTTAGCTTAGTTATTTACAAAATTGCTTTGCTTTTGTGGATGTGATGTACTTGGCTTGCATAAATGATTGTATATAATTGGTAACTCTCCATTGAGATAGTAGCTCTTAGAGCTCATAATGTGCTCTTAGTTAATACATCTATCCTAAATCTATGTCAATACATTTTTTGGACTTCTTGGACATGTACTTTGTTATTTTCTGAAGGCTTGGCTGAAAGGCTATCAAGTCACTAACACTTGAATCTTTTTATTTTTTTTTAAATGCTGGGTACACTGGATTATTTCTCTAATGTAACATGGATTAGTCTTGCTTTACAAATGCAAGACTCTGTCCTGGAATTTGGCTTCATCTCTGGGCAAATTTTTACAATTTTCAGATGTGAAGACTGTGTCTTTGTGCTGTTGGGAATGCAATAATGTGTGTGTGATCAACACAGATAAACACTAAACACAAACCCAAGTAGTTTCATCACACTCATTTTGAATGTGCAATTGATTATATTGAGGAATAAGCAATAATCAAGTTGCAAAACATTTCTATTTATATTCATAGTGCTTTTGAGTAATTTGCAAGCAATTTTGTGATATGTTGGGAATAAAGAGATAGTGTGCAGATAGCAGCGACAGTGACTTCAGTAACATGGGTACATGAAACTTGTTGATTTTGACTGCCAAAAGTGAATTTGCTTGAGGCAAAATGATTGATTTGCACTTGAGTAAAACCCAAGATAAACACATGGTACCATGTTCTAATTGCTCTTAGATCATGTTTTATGTGATACTCAAAGACTTTTAAAAAGACTGTTAAGTCTCTGAACAAACTCTGCTACCTTAGGGAATCGAAGCCAGCTGTCAGCAAGGGGGAATGACTGGTTTAGCTCTGAAGGATCCCTAATGAAGGGAACAGCACAAACACCCCATCATTCTTTTCTGCGCAGAGAGGACTGGAATGGGGAATTGGCTTCAGTGAACATGTTGGAAAGAGAATGGTCAGAATTCAATTTACACATAAAGGAGTTTCTGAAGTGATCTTATTTCATGACTTTTTTTAGAAATATATTGAAAGAGCCATCTCTAACTTACAGTAACGTAGGCATTTCTACACCATTTAAAGATACTGGAAGGGCTGATGTGCACACTCAGCCACAACTGAGAATGTTTGCTAGAAAGGATTTTAGAACCTGTTGGTATTGACACAGATGCCTGCATGATGATCACTTTTTGTCTCAAGGGAAGTCAAAGGCATCCCAGATTTCATCCAAATGCTGTCCACTCTGTGAAAGCTGAGGCAAAGGCTGTAATTAGATTTATTAAGCTGGATGAAACTATAGTGCCACTGAACTAATATCTGCATAGATGTTACTAAGACAAGTCTTCTAGATCGGGATTTATCTGTTCTTACTTTAGAGGTCCATATCTGAACCAGTCATTCTGGTGTCTCTGTCATGAAGGAAGGAACTGAGCAACTCTAGATCTTCCGTTTAGAAGTGGAGGTTTAGAGTTAAGCAAGATGAATCTTAATGCTGCATACCTTTTGGCTCATTAGAGCCTTCGTCAAATGTGCTTAAGCCCTTGTCAATACATGAAGAGCAAGCATGTTGGATCTTGCTCCTGCTGCCTAGGTTGACATAGTAACGAGAGCTTAAATCTATCTGGAGAACTTTTGTTAACATAACAAGTCAGTGTTGCTTTGTTCAGTAAACATGGCTGGAAAAAAATGCTCTCAAAACACCCACAGATGCTGTTCTCGAGCAGTGGCTGTGGAATTGGGTGAGGGTGGTCTTTCCACATCCCAGCTGGGATGCAGTGGGACAACTATTTAATGGTAAATAGCAAATGGGATTTAGCAGAGGTTGGAATGAGCTGAGACACAACTGCTGCATACCTAAACTGAAGTGTTCTCACTGACTACTTTTGCCTCCTGACTTGCAGCTAAAGGAATTGGAGTAGGTGAAATAACCTTTCTTTGGGGAAGGAGGTGAGGAGAGAAAGAAAAGGGATACTCTCCTGTGTGACCACCTCACTCTGAAGCATGTTTGTGTTGTGTCTGGGTTGGAACTTCCACTAAAATGCTGCATTATCATAAAAGTGGTGGGTGATAGAGTGAGAAATGAAATGCCTGCTCTTTGTTTTATCAAACAGGTGCAGTGCCATACCTACACTGGATACTGCTGGTGTGTGACACCTGATGGCAAACCTATTAGCGGCTCTTCTGTACAGAACAAAACTCCTGTATGTTCAGGTACTGTGGGAGTGGCTTCAACAAACACTGATTTGATAACTGGAGGGGGTTGGGGAGGATGTGTTCTGTTCAGAGTGCATTATCTCTTTGGGTGATTTAGCCAGTTTACCCGATTCAACACTGCAGCTGTGCTTGTTATCTCCCTGTGTGCTTGCGGACATTTGGAAGCTGCAAGGGAGCTTGGACTGTGGCATGTCCACGCTGTGGTTAGGGTACAGACACTCCTGCAGGCCTCGCAGAAAAACCACTAAGGTGCACAGACTGTGGTAGCCCAGGCAAGAGTCGCAGTGTTATGTACGCCAAAACCAGAGATTCCATAACAGATGGGATAACTTTTTACCATGAGCTGTGTTTTGAAGAAGTGGTTCTTGGCCTGCATTGAGTGGGCCGTGGAGTCATTTTGCCTGCAGAGTGACTTCAGTTCAAAGTTTGATAAGGTGGTTCTGTGACAAACCGGTAGCTGTTGACTAGTAGCCACCACATCTGGGGTCCTGCTGTTATAGTGGATTTGGGTCTTCTGGTCATGCTGCACACTCCCAGGATTGCCATGTTTGTGTCATAGGGCGGGACAGCACTGGGCTTTGCACCACAGCTCACATGAGGCAGATCCAGAGCCAGGCTGTTACTAATGGGTTTATTAAGTGGCATACTTCTGGGTGCTCAGGCTGACACCCTGTGGTTTACTAGACCCAAGCCCATCATTTTCTTTAATTGTTTCTTGGTGTGTGTGGTGGTTGTGGTTTCCTCCCCCCCCCCCCCCCCCAACTATTCAATATGTCATGAGGTTGGCCCCTCATTTTCATATGGCCCTGCAGTGTTTGGCCTTTTGATGTGAGCCTGACAGCAGTCAAATTTTATATATATATATATATTTTTTAATCCTTCTCACCTTACTCAGTGCACTCTTGGCTGTAGGGTGTTTTGTGGTAATAAGCACACATAGTGACTTGCATCAGTGTTTGAGTGGGAGAACTGTCTGGGAACCAGTGAATCAGTGTAGCTTGAGGGGGTGCTTGGTGTTTCACAGGTACATGGAAGGACAATAAAATTAATATCCTGGTTTTGTGTAAGGTGAAATACTACATTAATTTGGCTTAATCCTTAGAATTCGACTTCCTTAGACCATTCACAGTATATGGTTTTGATGGGGCATGTTTTAGTTTTGCTGATCTGTTCATTTAGACTTTAGCTGTTTATAAAATTGTTACCAGAAGTCAAGTCATGGTGTATTGTAGGGCACACAGATGTTAGGCCTACGATGACTAATATTGGGTATGTGCTTCCTACTAGTAATTCAGCAGTAGGTCTGAGAAACTGATCTGCAAGTGGAAGTGCCTGGCAATAGAGTTTACATTTGGAGTTTGTCTTGACCAGACTCTTGGGCCTGTCAGTTGTCTCCTTTGGAGCTGACTTTTGATCTATGTTTCCGGAAGGATCAGTAATCCCAGGAACTCTTTAGTAATGGTGCATGGAAGAATCAGTTTCTTGGGAATGAAGCTATTTAAAAAAAAAAAGCAAGCTTGTCAGATTTTTATATGCTTTGGTAATGGATTTGTTCAAATAGCTTGTATCAGTTCAAGTTTTAGAGGAAAACTGAAGCACTAAAGCAAACTGCAGAAACAAGTGTAGAATCATATGAAGATTGAAATTATATTAAAAAAAATGTGTTCTACTTAAGTACATGCTGGCTCGTATTCAGTGTCCCTTTTCAAACAGCTGGGGATGTTCAGGGGTTGGTTGAAATCCATTTTCTGCAAATTGTCCCCTTAATCCCTTTCCTTTAGAATACTGCCCTTTGCATTCCCTGCACACTCTCCCCACCTGGTTTTGATTTGTTCTTCCTGACATTTGCAAACAAAAAAAGTGACTCTTATTGATCTTTCCTCCTTGCCCTTGGATTTATTCCAGGTTTCTTACTAGCACATTGCTCTGTTGAGCTCTTTCAAATCACTGGATACAGCTACTAAAGATTTCTTGTTTACTCTCATCCTGATTTAACATCTTAACACATAAAACTTCCTTATACTATCCCAGCTGGTTGAAGCTACAGGTTCTCTGAATCCTAAGCTGAGCTGTTGGCAAGCAAAACAGATGCTCTGTGGGTAAACATATGACTATTAATGTGACTTTACATGTTCTGTGAGATCATGCTGCATCTGAATAGATGTCTTTTTCCTCCCATTTAGGTTCTGTAACTGATAAACCATCAAGCCAGGGTAATTCAGGAAGGAAAGGTGAGTGGAGTCCTGTGCTTCAACTTGTTTTGTCATAGCAGCTACCTAGCCAAGTCCCTTGAGATAACTCAGAACTTGGGTTTCTAACCAGCTTGGTGTACGGGAGGTTTATTTGCCTTTAGGCCTTCCCCTTCAGTAGGAGGAAAAAGATGACAGTCTGTTTGTGTACCACCCTGTGGAATAGAAAATGCTGTGCTCATCAGCTGAGCTGTAGTACATGAAAGCAGAGCTTCCTAAAGGGGTGGCTGGCATAGAATAGCCTTTGCTTGTTCACCTTGAAGTTAACTGCTAAGCGTTTCTCAGTAAAATCCATAGAGATTAGGAAGGCTATTAACATGACTAGTATACTGGGAGTCAGGGTGCCAATGTCATGATTGTGGCTTTATATGAATTGAAAGGTGGGTTTTAGAGCATAAAACCCTCTGGCCAGCTGGAGCAGCGCTGGATTAAACCCTAGCTGTGCTTAAAAACATCTCTTGTGTGTTAGGCATTGGTCTTCCTTTAGACTCCTTTCTTCAGTCCTTGCCTTTCCTGAGCAAGGAACTAGGTGTGTTGTCATTCTACGTCTCCTGTGTGTACTCGTAGCCCTTCTGTGCCCTCTGATTTGCAGTGATTGAAAGAGCCTTGGGAAGGGTGACCACTGATGTGTACTGATGTGCAGTCAAGTTTTGTCTTTAGGCCTTCAACACATCCTGGTTTTCAACCCTTCTTCCCTCTGCCCCTCAGAGTCAACTTTGTAGGTTGTCTCCTTACTACAGGAAAACAGTGTTGGTGAGGATAAAGGCGGTTTCTGGGAAGTTCCTGTTGGTACCTGAAGCAGGATTGTTACTGCTAAGTCTCTCAAACAATTATTCCTGGTGTTTCAAAACGCAGGAAGAGGCCTACCTTCATGCCAACACTTTAATTTGAAGAACATCCGCCATGCTGGGACTGTCAATCCAGTCGTGAAAACACTTAGGAGGAATTATATATATTGCTGTATTCAGGGCACTGATGCATTTCAAGCATATTTGCTCTCCAGTCTATTGATTGTGTAAAGTACCTTAGAAAAAGGTAGGGAGAAGAAAGATGCAAGGAGAATTACTTAAGACTGAATGCTGAAGCCTGCTTCTTGTTTTAGACAAGGATGTGTCTCTGTAAACCTGTAATTATGTGTTAATGTATAATTGGCACCTGAATGCATTGTTATCATTCTGTTAATGCAATCATTGCTAGTCTAGCCTGAAGTACAAGCAAATCAAGTAGCTCTTGACATCTGCATTATTTTTGAGTGGGAGTTTTTTGTAGGCTTCCTACCTGAGCAGTCCTGCTCTGTTCTAGAATTGGAAGCAGCTGACATTGCTCCTGTTTGTTATGAAATCCAAATGGGAAAAACATCTGAACTTGTTTTTCCTATTTTCCTACTTTGCTCCCTTTATTAATTCAGAGGTTGGAATATGCAAAAAAGAGAACTGTAAATGGAGTGAATTAATGTAAAATTTGTAATATAAATTGATTCTCCTTGGTGCTGCCTGTGGCATCCTCTTTCAAGAATGGCACACTTAGTTACATGGCTGCTGAAGCATCCTGTTCAGTAGCTGTCAAGAGAAGGAAAACGTTTCCCTTTGGGCTAGCATGCTTCAAGCAATTGTGTAAGTTTCCTATCCCCTCTGCTTCTGAATCTGTTCATATCTGTTGGAAGCCCCTGCACAAGCCACTCTGGCTTTTCCCCATCATGTTTGAAAAATAGTTGTGAGCAATTATTAAATGTCTTTTAAAATCAAGAAGACTTTTAGGAGCTGACATAATTTGGTTTAAAATTTGACTGACTTAGCAATATTCCTTGGCTGGTGATGCATGTCTAACCTAAAAATTATTTTGGCTTTCTTATCAGCGTTTTATTGACTGTTACTTTGTTTCAAAATTCCAGTATTGGGTCCTGTTTTAAGGAAGCTGAAACCAAGAACAGCCTGGCTTCCTTGAAGCAAGGTGGTTGCTGGAGGTCTGGCTTCTCTGAAGACTGGTGGCTAACCAGCACACATACAACCATCCATTTGATCAGAGTGTTAGACTTTTCTTGCAAAGAGCAATCTTTGTGGAGACAAAAAGGGCAGGACAAGGAGGGTGACAAGCAGGAACTGGATCAGTGATGACCCTTCTGTTGTAAAGGCACATCTTGGAAACTTCTTCAGCCTGGAGAAGAGGAGGCTCCGGGGAGACCTTATAGCACCTTCCAGTACCTGAAGGGGCCTACAAGGGTGCTGGGAGAGGACTTTTTACAAGAGCCTTTAGTGACAGGACAAGGGGTAACGGGTACAAATTGAAAACAGGGAGGTTTAGATTAGATATCAGGAAGAAATTCCTCACAGAGAGGGTGGTGAGGCACCGGAACAGGTTGCCCAGAGATGTTGTGGATGCCCCATCCCTGGCTGTCTTCAAGGCCAGGCTGGATGTGGCTTTGAGCAACCTGGTCTAGTGGAAGGTGTCCCTGCCCATGGCAGGGGGGTTGGAACTAGATGATCTTTAAGGTCCCTTCCAACCCTAACCATTCTATGATTCTATGACATCACTTTGGGCAGCTGCTGTCTGATTCGGGAGCTTTGGGACTTTTTCCACTGCACAGTAGACTCCTCTCCATCCCTGGATGAGGGTCTCTAAGAGCATTATCTGGCACAGAATAGGTGCTCTCAGGAGGAAAAGAAATAGCAAAGACTTTCAGAAGTTTTCTTTTGTCCCATTCATACAGGAATATAAAATATGGAGCTAATAAACACTGAGATGCTAGTGCCTTTCAAGTCTTCAGGTCAAAACAGTTTTTTGGATGGAGTCTGTTCTGCCTTGGAGATGGTGCAGGTGGGTAGGCTTAAGCTGTTGGGTAATGAATGAAAAGGAAGACTTTACTAACAAATTAGCTCTCCTGTGGAAGGAGACAAATTAATGTTACAATGAGAAAAGGGCTGGGTTTTGCTTATAACTTTCTCCAAATGTTTTGGCCCTTTTTCTATCCTGTTTAGCCATAACTTTTCTGGATCAACAGATAGATACGGAGTCATGAGACGATGTGCGGTAACTCGCAGGCTCTCTTGCTACTGATGAAAAAAGAATGAAATGGCTTCATGGTCACGTGGCTTGGCATGTAGTTCCAGAAGTGGCTCTGTGGAGCTTTCTGCAGAGAACAGGCAAGAGTGCTGGCAAGAAGTCCTTTTTATTTTTAAATCTCATGCTTTGGTTGCCCATGTTTACATTGCTGCTATTGCTGTATGATGCAATGCCAGTTACTCATAAAACTTGCCCTGTAAGGTAATTTAAATCAAATTAAATTGGCACCAAACTTAAAACAGTGAAATAGAATGTATTGATTTCTTCTGTATCTGAGAAGTGCTCTGTTGCTGGAAGTCGGAGCAGCTGGGACTGGGGAGGTAAAGGCATGTTTGTGTGAGGTGGAATTGGAAACCCAGGTTCTCCAGGATATGCTCAGTGTGTGGACTTAGCAGCTCAGACACTTATCACAGTTTTCTAGACTGAATTCAGCCTGAAAGGAAGAACAAGCTTCCAGGACCTTTGTCAGGGAATGCAGTTATTCTTGGGTGGGATTAGGATATCTAGAACTTGCAGGTTTCTGTTGCTGACCTTTTTTCTGGCTTGTTCCTTGTTACAATCCTTTCTTGTAAGGAATTTACTCCAGTTGCTGCTTAGTTTGAAAGGCCCGAGAGACTGGGAAGATGCTGCTGTCCCCCAGAGGGCTGGATCTCCCTCTTCTCTCCCACTGGGAGGTTGTTAATTGCCTAAGAAGCAGTGAAAGCCATCCTTGGAGCCAACATGACTGCTTTTCTTCCCTGAATAAAGAATGCAGAATGTTGCTTTCCAGCCAAAGGGAAATTGTGCCACACATTTGAAACAAAACAAGCAAACACAAAAGAACACACAACTTTATTTTTTTTTTTTATCTGAGGAGCTCAAAGCTGCAGATTTGGCATATTGTAGCCATGAGTAGTGTTGCTTGCAGTCACCAAGCAGTTTTTAAAAAGTATGCTGGTCAGGAGACAGGGGGATGGTAAAAAAAAGTAGCCATGTCATTGCTTATCTCCATAAAGTCACTTGGTCTTTCTTCTTAAAACTGGCAACTGAGTGAATTAAAAATGGGGAGATTGGAAATGAGTGAAGGGGGTAGGGGGTGGGGGAGAATCTAAGTGGGCATACTGGCTAGCTGTTGGTTGTTAACTGTTCCAGACATTGTGAGAGGTGTTGATACTATTTTAAAATCAACTGAATAAAGGAAATGGACAAGGAGACTTGGTTCTAAAAATCTGGGATTAAAAGATGCAACTACGGGGTAAATATGGGCTGGATAAACTTCAGTGTCAGTCATGAAGAATATTTGAGTGCTTTGAACTCCGTTTTTCTTTCATAAGGTCTCTTACAGTGAATCAAGTTCCAGGCCAGTTTTGACTAGCTTTGTTTCCCCGTTGTGAAAGCTGGCCATGGCATGTGCAATTCCCTGAGTCTGGGCCAGGTACCATGATATCGGAGGAATGTAAGCTCTGATGGCCCCTGTGGTGGGTTGACCCTGGCTGGAGGCCAGGTGCCTATCAAAGCTGCTCTGTTACCTGCCTCCTCAGCTGGTCGGGGGGCAGAAAACATAAGGAAAGGCTCGTGGGTTGAGATAAAGACAGAAGAGATCATTCACCGATGATGCTCATGGGCAAAACAGGCTCAGTTTGGGGAAAAATTAATTTATCACCAATGAAATCAGAGTAAAAAGAACTAAACCCAAGTCTTGAAAACATCTTCCCGCCTTCTTTGCTGCTTTTCTCTATGTTCTACCCTCCAGTGACACAGGGGGATGGGCAATGTGGGTTGTGGTCAGTCCCTCACATGCTGTCTCTGCTTCTCCGTCCTCCTCAGGGGAGGGATCCTCACCCTCTGCCTCTGCTCCAGCAC